GAGAGAGAAAGAAAGAAAGAAAGAAAGAAAGAAAGAAAGAAAGAAAGAAAGAAAGAAAGAAAGAAAGAAAGAAAGAAAGAAAGAAAGAAAGAGAAGATTTCATGATGCTTTAAGTAAGTTTACAGTTTTGTGTGGAGCTGCGTGAATTCACAGCTATCCTAAGCAGCATGTGGCCTGCAGGTCATGGGCTTGACTTGCCTAGAACCTTAGCCCATTGACCCCATTCCTTTTCTGCACCTCCCACAGACTTCTACACTGAATGCCCCAAGTGTGAGATGTGCACCGTGGACTCACCTCATCTTGGGCCTCTCTTGCCGATCTCTGGAAGGTCCGTGCCGTGGTGACTTCTGCTGAGCCTTTTATGCTTCAAGGTCCTACCCCACCTCCTTCCCTTCCAATTCTGTGTTTGTACAATGTCAGCCAAGGTCACTGGTTGTTCCAGTAATCAAACCACAAACCAAACCCCTGTCAAGAGTTGAACTCTTGCTTCATGCTTTCCTCTCCCGTGGTGTTATTTTACAAATCATGAAGAAATCTGGCAACTTCATGACCCCTCCCACTCACCGCAGTGGTGGATAGTCCCCAGAGGGTGGGGTGGAGAAGAGGAGCTGTCAATGTGACACTTTATCTTTTGGAGGGAATTATTAAACCTTTCTTTGAGTTATTTCAAACCCTTTTAGACACCCCTGTGACCCGACCTAGCTGAGACTATAAAGAAAGTGTTTCCTTTTCTCAATCATGCTACCTAAGTGTAAACATCTCCTTCCTGCTTGTGGAAAGCTCTGGAACCTGCAACCAGTAGACTGTGTTTATTGGGTATTGGCCCTTTGCTCTCTAGCCTCAAGAGTGATTAAAGCTGTAGTACAGATTGACATGGGACCCTCATGCTGGCTTTTCACTCCAGAGTTTTCAGTGCTGAAAGGGTTTATCTTGGAATTGTTTCAAGACAGACACTCTGGTGTAGGCACCCCCGCAACCTCACTCAGAGAGAGCAGGTAAAGAAAGGGTTTCCATTTCACAGTTACTCCACAACCTGTGTGGACATCTTGCTGTTGCTAAGTGTTCTGACCTAAAATCAGTGAAATGAGCCTGCTGTGTCTCCTCTGATGGCTCTTAGTAGAAGAGCAATGGGTAGTGTAAACAGAACAAGCTCAATAGCAGGACTTCCTGTGGCTTCATAGGCCAGTTGCTAGTCAAAATAGGCAGCTGAGAAACATCAGTGTTTCAGTCAAATACCTTCCCTGGTATGCTCTTCACTCTAACATAGCAACTCAATCTAAATGTCTTCATTAACTGAAAAAAAAAAAGTTAGCTGTTTTTAAATTAGATCATACCAAAGAATCAAATGGGCTGTTAATAGTGGCATCAATACAATATCAAAACAACTAGGAAGAGCACAGATACCTATCAACAGGTGACTGGTTACTAATGTGTGGTGTAGTCACACCATGGAATATTGTAAAGCCATGAAAATGCTTGGACAACAGAGAAGAGAGATAATTGCATAATTTTGAAAACATCACAAAGTAGCAGAAGATTGCATTGGGAATGATACTGCTCTTATAAAGCTCAAAACCAAGCACAATTTGGTAAAGGATTTTTAAATATGACACCCAAATCACAGACAATATCAAGAACATGAAAAAGCAAGGCTGGATCCATGGCTCAGTGGTTAAGAGCACTTGCTGCTCTTTGAGAGGACCTGAGCTCAGTTCCCAGCGTCAAGTGTCTTACAACAGCCTAAGATTTGAGGCCCAGGGTACCCAATGCCTCTTACCTCACATGCAAGACACATAGACACACACACCTACACATAATTTGGGGCTACCCTTAAAACCTCACCTCTCTCTGCTTTCCCTCGTGGGCTTGGATGCTGGGTCAGACTCAGGCGGAAGAACAGTGTGCGACTGTACCTTGGCCTTCCAGGACCCTATGATAAATCTCCTGTTTTGTAGTGAGCCTTCCTTCCTAATAAATTCCTTTACCCTTTAAGCAGACTCCGTGGAGTTCTCATAATAGGTCTCCTACAGCAAAACAAGTGTTAGGGAAGAAGTGGGGACATTGGAACCCACATGCCCTGCAGTGGGAATGTAGAACGGTGCATACTCCAAGGCATAGCTCCGTGGTCTGTCCAAAAGCCAGTGTCAGAACTACTGTGTGCTCCAGGTGTGTTGTGCAACAGTCCCCCCACCCAGATTGAAACATTCCATACTTCAGAGATGCTAAGCAGGAAAATCAACAACCCAAAACAACTTAGTTTCAGGAGGTCCCTGAAACTAACCAGATTCACTAGGCCCCTCTCTGCCAGAGTAAACAATAAAGCTGCCAAGAAGTCTCTAAGACCAGATCAGCCACCTGGAGAAGTCTAAACCAGCTGGGCTGCCTGGAAGACCAGAGTCCCTTGGAAAGGACACTCTCCAACCTGTTGAGCGACCTTCAGGCTGTGCAGTGTGCTCCAGGTTCCTAGCTTTTTTTGAGATGTCACCCATTTTGGAGTGGGCTTTGGTGATACAGATGTCTTTTCTGCTCTTGTAAGTAACCTCTCATCAATATTCCTATAAGTGACCTGTCAGAGCCTGCCAACAGTCAGCTGGGTAGCTGGGTAGAGGCGTGCAGATTGAAGAGACAATGAAGACAGGAGAGAGTCGAGAGGTCTGCCAGTCAATGCCGGACAGCCCCAAGTTTATTTCACAGCCAGCTTATATACAGTCTTGAACGACAGAGGTAGAACAATGCACAGCACAGGCATTCAACCATTATCTATCCTGCCTTGTGTCAAGGAGCAGGCAGTTTCATTATCTATCTCAATATACTTCTGACTGGCATCAGCAGCCTGCATCTAGCTAGATAGTGTGTTCCTTCTTGTGGGCTAATCAGGACATTTTCACAGCCATTCAAGGAGACTCTGTGGGCTAATCAGGACTTTCTCACAGCCTTGGAACAAATAAGCCTGAACTCTATTGACTCAGAATAGACTTCAGATTTAAACTGGGAAACTGAGTCAGTTGTGGGCTCCCACAATTCCTCCCTTTTTATTTAAGACTCCACTGAGTCTCTCAGATGACTGTGCCTGTATTAGGTGTTTCCTTACCATATTCCAATCTTACCCATCATGGGAGCATGAATTCCATCATTCACGTCCTGTCTTAGGTTGAAAGGAGGCAAAGAAAACTTACCCGTCTTTGGCTACCAGCCTCTGGTGTTAAGTCAGAGGAATGTGTAGAGTTTTACTCTGGAGTTCCAAGCCCAATCTCCATAATGAGTTCAAAATCAGCTTGAGAATCATAGGCAAGCAGATTATGCCTACTAAGACACATGTTCTAATAGCTACAACACTACTTAAGAGCAAAGTAAATGATGACCATGATGGGATAGCCCTTATAAATTGTTCTAGAATATCTTCTGCTGTTTTAGGTGCATCAAAATCCAATTTAGCCCTTTTCATTTCTATAATCTCTTGATATAACTTAGCCAAATCTAAAGATTCATTAGAATCATGCCAAATTCCTTTAAGATGTGCCTTAACCCTTTTCCATCCAATAGCACTTTCATTATACACAGAAGATGTAACACAAATTCATTCATAATCAGCATGACATTTCAAATGTACTCTAGTTTTTAGGCTTTGGAAATCTCCCAAAATTGCACCTTATCATACAAAGCATTCAATTTATGTTCCATTTTCACATCAATATCTTCTTAAGTCTCTAATGTCATAGAAACTTTCATAGACAATTGATTAACAAACCCTGTTGTCTGGATGGATTGAGACAAAGGCATTGAAGCAACAGTAGTAGTAGAAAGCATAGTAAAAAGAGCTGCAATTCCTGCTATAACTAATCCAGCAACATACTTTTTTTTTTTTTTTTTTTTTTTTTTTTTTTCGAGACAGGGTTTCTCTGTGTAGCTTTGCGCCTTTCCTGGAACTCACTTGGTAGCCCAGGCTGGCCTCGAACTCACAAAGATCCGCCTGCCTCTGCCTCCCAAGTGCTGGGATTAAAGGCGTGCGCCACCACCGCCCGGCTATCCAGCAACATACTTATGTCTGCTTAAAGCTTTTTTGATTTCCTCAATCACTTGTAACCCTTTATCATCAAACCATGGATCACTCATATATACTGGCAATATTACAAAAGAAAATTGTTTTAACACTATTACACAAATATAATTATCCATTTGGGAAATACAATTGGTCAAAATGCAATTAAGACATGATACATTAAACACAGAACCATTTACAGAAATATTTGCTTCACCAACTAAAAGAATAAGCTAAAACAGTTTCAAAGGACAAACAGGTTTCAAGCAACTGGAACGTCCTGCAACTGTTCCCATGTCAGCAGCAAGTTTCCAAACATAAATTTGTAGAGATCCAGTACTGGAATACCAAATTCCAGCAGACAGTCCTTGGTCCCAAGATTCTGCAGTAGACACTGTATAAGAGTCACTATAATTGTCCTGATTTCCAGACCAATCAAGACTATATTGCTGTGTCCATGTGATGTTATACTTTAAAGCAATAATGCCAGTACATCATCTCCATAACAAAATTCTGTTAGACTCTCACAGTTCTTTTGTGCATGGAGGAAATTGTTGAGGGGGTGAACTATTACTTACCCAGTTACCTTGAGGAAGCAATCCAAAACATCCCTCCAAAGTAATATTTTTTGCAAAACATACAGGAATCCTTTTACCAATATCCAATATAAGAAAAATGTGAGCAATCTGGAACTCTTGGATGGCAAGTTGATCTAAAAGCCTGGTATCATTAATTGTAACCACAATTTATTTTCCTTCCCAAGTTGCAGGATGTAAAACTGGTGGATCAGGAACATAGGCCCAATAGGTCACACTCTGGCATCTCTGGATGGTCATCAGTAGCATCAGGATCAGCATCTCTCTGCTCCATACACTGCACCAGTCTTTCAGGCAACCAATGAGTATCATTTTCATCCCGTGAGAAAACACAAACATGCCTCGTCCCCATATTAAAACAGGGTTGGGGCCCTTCCATAAGCCAGTACAAGGATCTTTACATTTGACTTGAGCAAGTTTTGTGATGGTGCCTTCATGCCAAAATCAATCAGCTGCAGATTTTCCAGCAGCATCCACATTTAAAAATTTTTAAAACAAGATTTAAAGCATTATGTGGTGACTTGGGGTATAACTCCCCCTTCTCTCTTTTTTTTGAAGTTGTATTTTGAGACTGTCATAGGCTCACTCAAAAATACTTGTTCTTGAGGATTATAAGGAATACCTTTTTTATGTTCAGTTTGCCATTGAGAGCAAAATTGATAAAAAAGATTTATTAATATATCCAGATCTATTATCAGTTTTAATAACT